AAAATCATATTTGCACAATATAATATATAATATTTTATTTAACAAACTGTTTTTTGTTAACAATTAATTCTTTAAACTTTTTACTAAATTCTAAACAAAACACTTGAAATAATTTATTATTATAAGTTATGATTAATAATAAAGAAATGTTTGTCACAAAATAAATGTATAAATTCAATAGTTAAATTAGAAGTGAATAATATTTTTAAAACTTATCGAACTAAGTTTAACTTAAAATGAATTTCGTTATAATATTATCTGTAATCTGCTTGTTCATATTAAACTTATTTTCTACGTGTGTGGCCGATAAGGATTGTGTGAATGATCCGAATAGTCTTATGCCAAGTGCTCAGTGCCGCACATATTGTCGTCAAAATGTATTTGTTTTTAATTACTTATTATTGAAAAGTATCTCATTTTTAATTTATTTTGTAGAAAATGTACGGATTTTGTGTGAAGGGACAGTGTGTTTGTACTAATAATTACAATTGCGATATCTTACACATCAACTGCAAGGCTAGCAAGTGACCAGGATAAATATACTGATTAACTTAATTGTATAATGAAATAAATTGACAATAAATAATTTTACGTGACATATGGAAACAATAATTTTATTTTTATTTATCGTAAAAAGTTTACAGTAAATAGTATGCTTCATTTCAGATTTTATATAATAAAGGATTGTGTGAATGATCCGAATAGTCTTATGCCGAGTGCTCAGTGCCGCACATATTGTCGTCAAAATGTATTTGTTTTTAATTACATATTATTGAAAAGTATCTCATTTTTAATTTATTTTGTAGAAAATGTACGGGTTTTGTGTGAAGGGACAGTGTGTTTGTACTAATAATTACAATTGCGATATCTTACACATCAACTGCAAGGCTAGCAAGTGACCAGGATAAATATACCGATTAATTTAATTGTATAATGAAATAAATTGACAATAAATAATTTTACGTGACATATGGAAACAATAATTTTATTTTTATTTATCGTAAAAAGTTTACAGTAAATAGTATGCTTCATTTCAGATTTTATATAATTTTAAATTTTTATTAAATTAGTATTAATAATAATAACTAAAATTATTGGTATACTTATTATTTAACTTAATTAACAAAATGTCTCAGATCATATGATTTATACGCAATTAATCTGCGTCAATTTATTTTTTTTGGAGAAATACTAAATATCACATCTAAATAATACCTGATAATTGTTGTTATCATTTATATCTCTGGAAAACTTCCAAAAATATGGAAATTTTTTATTCAATTCACCTAAAATTATAAGACAATTAAAAATTCCTAATAAACAAAACACTAGAAAATAATTAACAATTTTATTAATAACAAGAATAAAATAGTTGTTTTCCCAAAGGTACTTAATTTAAAACTTATATAAATAGTGGCTTGTACTATAATCGAATTAATAGTTGTTTATATTTAATACAAAAGTATTTCTATAGTTTATTAGCAAAATGAAATTATTTATTGTTTTAATAGTTTGTTTTACAATTTATAATTCATTGTATATCTGTGTGGCTGATATGGACTGTGTTAATGATCCTGATAGTCTGGTTCCTAGTGCTCAGTGTCTAATACATTGTCGCAAAAATGTTAATTTTTTAAATTATATTTAATTTGAATGACATTAATTTTAATATTTTAATTTTAATGATTTAATAGAAAAAGTATGCATTTTGTGTGAAGGGACAGTGCGTTTGTACAAATGATTACGACTGCGATATTTTGCATATCAACTGCAAGACTACGAAAATACCAAGCTAATCATTAAACAGGGATGCGGATGTATGACTTGAGTTTCATATAAAAATAATAATTCAAATTATATCTAATTATTAGTATTTTTATCAACCACAATATCATTTTGAACTGCATTAATTTTTTGTAAAATATTTTTAAATTGTATTTTAAAGTTATTATCAGCCAGTTTATATTGCCCTATTTATTAATTAATTATATAATGTTTGTGTGCGATAGACACTTATTAATTCAGTATCCTTTTATAACAAACAATATATAAAAACAAATAAACTTATTTTTATTTAGCACCTGTAGAGTATATTGTAAATTTCTAAACATATCTATTTTCAAGTAGCATTAATATTAACTATTACTTCTACAATTATTATTAATGTAATTATGAATTTCAAAATACAACATTTCAAATTATTTTTGGTGATGTCGCACACACCTTGGTCATACCGTATCGGAATTATTACAGAATGTGTATTTGAATTATTAATTATAAATAGTGTATTTTTATTTCAAATAATAAATTAGATACAAGTGTTTATAAATCAGAAATGATATCACAAGTCAATATAAATTACAGATTCAGTGATTATAAAGCAGTTTTCAAAAATTAATAAATATTAACGAAAATGATTTACAAAACTAGTTTATTTGCTTTATTTATTATTTTGTAATGAAATCTAATTTTTATAGTTTACATAGTTTTTATATTATTTAATTTTGTTATAAACTTAAATACTTTCTAATCTTAAAATAAACAATTAATTTAGTAATATAAACATACTTTCTATAATTTCAATTGTTTTTATAAATGTGTTAAAAGTGTGTTATTTATTATAATTACTTGTAAGTTATACTCAATATACTACCTAAAAGTAACGCTATATTAAATAATGTTAAATACTGTATGTGTTAAAATAAAAATACATAATTATGTGACAATAGTACAGTATTTTGATTATATTAATAATATCTATATTTCAAATATCATGTTTTATAGAAAGTGATGTACTGTTAAAGTATAACATAATTTTGCATTTCACTTGTATATACAGTAGTATGTGATAAACTATTTCATTGAACTGTAAACCAATTACTAAATTAGTATCAGTACTTAAATTATAAACAAAATATTTTCTAATAATTTCAAATAATTCAAACCAACTTTGTTTACCAATTACTGTATATGTATTTTAGTTCACAAAATACATAATTATGTGACAATAGTACAGTATTTTGATTATATTAATAATATCTATATTTCAAATATCATGTTTTATAGAAAGTGATGTACTGTTAAAGTATAACATAATTTTGCATTTCACTTGTACCGTATGAGGCATTTCAGACAGCTTATTTTGTAGCTATACTACTTCATAGTATAAGCTGTCTGAAATGCCTCATACGGTATATACAGTAGTATGTGATAAACTATTGCATTGAACTGTAAACCAATTACTAAATTAGTATCAGTACTTAAATTATAAACAAAATATTTTCTAATAATTTCAAATAATTCAAACCAACTTTGTTTACCAATTACTGTATATGTATTTTAGTTCACTATAAGCGGAGTTCCCTGTCTATGCTTGACATTTTAGTAATGATTCTGGTGTTTTATAGAATGTTAACATGTATAGCATGTTAATTTTTTATTACTTAGAAATCAAGTAATATTCACCACATTTCGTTGGAATTGCGATTAAATTGTGGATTTTCATTGCAATTCAATTATTATAATAAGACTGTTATTATGTGTGAACAATGAAAAGGGGTTTCAGTCATTTTCTTATACCTGTTAATTACAGTCAACTTTTGTTACTGTGCGCACATATTATTTGAAAATAAAGTGTTCAAGTCATTATTGTAGACAATTTTTTTGGAGGTTATCCTAATAGACCGTATCATAAGGTGTGCACTCGTATACAGGTATACAGGGCTACAGTACTCCTGTACCTGAAATCTAATTATACGGCACTTGTATGTCATGATTGAATTGCATAAATATATACCTTACTATATGTTTGAGTGAATCATTTGAACACACTTTGCAAACATTTTGAAAAATATGATTTTGACAGATTTTTATTCAATTGTGTATTTCACATTCAATTTGTGTACTTATATGAACATTATGTAAACATTTTTATTTGATTTTGATTCATATGCTTTGATTAGAAAAATTTTTATATTTACAAAAAGTAATTCAAAATTATTATTTAATTGTAATGTGATTTTTGTCTATGTTTTACACATCCATTCATTTCATAACTTTATTTTACTTAACAAAATGTTTTCCAAACATTTCCTACAATTTCTATTGTGTTGCCAATCGATGGCATTGTTTTCACTCGTATTGTGTGAGAAAACGTGGAAAAATATTTTACCCGATAATTACAACATAGATATCGCGCCTACACTTAATGAACAACCAGTTCTTGTGAACGTGTCCATGTCCGTGCTAAACCTTAAACCGGATGCCGGTGCTTCGGAGGTAAATAGCTTAATACTTATTATAATTAAATAAAATTAGCCTGCTTATAATAATTCTATTTAATTGTATAGTCTTTTGTTGTGGACTTTTTCTATCAACTCTATTGGTATGACCACCGGTTGACAGCACCGGCTACTGAAAAGGTGACTCTGGGCTCCCAATGGAAAGATAAACTATGGACTCCTGACACTTATTTTAGGAACAGTATGAGTGGTGGTATTCCCAGTGTTTTGCACCCCAGTGTATACTTTACAATAACTAATAGCACCCAGGTGTTTATGGCGGCCCGGTTCCAATTGAAACTCAGTTGTAATATGGAATTTAAAAAATTTCCGTTTGACACCCAGATCTGTTTTATTAATATTACTACACGTGAGTACTGTATACAGTATTATACTATTTAGTCGTAAATTATAATGTATTTGTAAAATATATTTTTATTAACCTTTAATAGAAAGTGATATTTTAAATATTTACTAGTTTATTAATTAATAATATATTTATTTTAGAAACTGTTATTTAATAAAATATTTAGATTAAGACATTAATGAATTCATAATCATAAGAGTTTTGGAAAGCTATTAACGATTTTAAAATTAATTATATGCTATTCATTATTGCAAGCCCAACTTTAATTTTAATTTTCTGCATAATAAAAAATGTTATTTCATAAACTGTAACTTAATAATTGATACCATAATATGAAGTAGAAAAGTATTTACAAGATTTAGAATAAAGGGTCCCTTTCGATATTAATTACAGTATATTGTCTTAATTAATAATATTTAAATTATTTTATATTGAACATAAAAAGCATAATTTTAAACAATTAACTTTTTGCAATATTTCTAAATACAGTAAATCTAAAACAATTGCCATGACATACCTTTCCCTCTGCCCACACAGTATCGCAAACCATAGACGATGTACGGCTGGATTGGGACAACTTCCGGATCGGCTCCCATGTGGTGCTCCCGGAGTTCGAGATAATCGACGGCGCGATCGGCGAGTGCGTCAAATCCTTTCAGGGACTGGGAGTCTATAGTTGCCTGTATGTCATCATCCATTTCCAGCGAAACATCGGCAACTACCTCATCAAACGCTACGTCCCGTCCGTACTCATCGTCACCATGACATTCATCGGCTTCTGGATCCCCACGCAAGTGACACCCGCCCGGGTGTCCCTCATCATCACAGCCCTGTTGGCACTCATAGCCCAACAAATACAGGGGGAGATCAACATCTCGTACATCTATGCGCTGGAGGTGTGGACTATAATATGCATTGTGTTTGTTTTCGCCACACTTATCGAGTACGCGGTGGCCATAGCCTGGCCTCATATGACCCCCGACCCCAACGGTCAACAGAATCGCATCGACGGTAATAATAGGATCGCCAAAAGGCTGGTGGCGTTCGTGGCACCCGATCAGCGTAATAATGAGGTGGACAAGTATGCCCGGGTGGTGTTCCCGTCGTGTTTTATTATAGCTATTTTTATTTATAGCATTAGTTATTACTTTTTATAATTATTATAGTATTAGTCAATGTTTATGACATCTATTGCGAGATTTAAAATGCATTTTCATAACAATTTTATTTTTCATTTTCATTATAAATGTTTCATTCATTATAAATTATAAATTGATTTGTTGAATAATAAAACTCGACATTTATGTAGACATTATTGTAGTTAACTATAAAAAAGTTTTTCAATTTACAAAACTTTGAAATGTAAATAGAGTTCTTCATACAATAACCAATTATTTTTATATTTGATATACTATTGACCGCGTATATTTCTAATACAATATAAGAGTACAGTTTTTATATATTTCTAATTTATTTATGCAAATAATACTAGTAAAGGGTGTCCCATCGTATTAGAACTACTTTTAATTAAAATTAAAAATATTTACAATAATGATAGCTTAACAAAAACTTCACCAAAATGTTGGATATTTATTAAATTTTTGTGTGATTTATAAAATTTGCACAAAATACCCACCCTGGTC